CCTGAGCAATCAGGTTGATTTATTTTTGGCACTTTTGTTTTTTAAGCAAAGGAGAAACACACACATAATTGCTACAAGGTGAAAGAGAAAATATTTTTATGCTTTGGGAGATGAATGATGCTTTCCCAATAACGCACTGGGCCCTGCCGGATGGATGAAGTCAGTGGTGTCCGGTATCCCAGGTCTACTGTTTTGGGTTTGTTACCAGGCAACAGTCTCTTAATGTCCAAGCTGTGATGTCTTCAGAGCTCAGCCCAGCCATGGAGTGACAGAGCTCTGAAAAGCCCACCTCGATGTCCACAGCACCCCTTCCATGAGCCCCCAGCCTTGACCAGCAAACGAGCCCCTCACAAGGCTCTGTGTGTCTCAGAAGCCGAAGCTGTATTTCTGCAATGTCTGCCTTTTCCTTGAGGTTGGAAGCCAACCCTTCTCCGCACTTAACAAAGAAAACGTCTCCAGTAGGCACACTAGCACAGGTCTGTCAGCCCAGATACTCGGAAAGCTGAGGCAGGAGGATCATTTGAGCTCAGGAGTTTGAGACCAGCCTGAACAAAATAATCAGACCCATATCTTATAAATAAAAAGTGTAGCTGGGTGTGGTCATGTTAAGGTTTGGTTCCAGCACTCTGAGTTCCAGGCTAGCTGGAGCGTCATACTGAGAGCCTGACTCAAAGAAAGAACGAAAGAAAAGTATCATTATGTATGTATGCTGTCAACTTCTCTTCTGGCACTAAAGCGACTGCATGCTAGTTGCACCTTTTCCCCTGAAGAATGCCGACCGATCTGCTTCTGTGATGTAAATGCTGCCTCCCTCTTCAGAGCTCTGTTTTATGCAACTCACAGTCTATTGGTGGACACAGCGATACTTTCCAACCCTGGTTGCTCAGCAACGACTAATATCCTATTCAGCCGTCATTTGGTACGTGGACACACGGGTCTGCAGGAAAGACGCTGAGAAGTCTGATCACGGGTCAGGTGTATCTAAAGTGTGATACGGAGCCAGGCACAGGTGTGCAACCACTGACGCGGTGGAGCAGGAGATCAGCTGAGCCCAGCGCTTGACGCCAGCCTGGGTAACGACAAGTCCCCGTCTCAAGACATACTTCTGGATAATTACAATCCCCATTTCTTCCTTCCCAAGTCATCCCAATTCACACGCCTCCACTGCACCCGGGCTTCCTTCTTCCTCCACCTTCATCAGAGCAGCCTGATGATGGCTGCAAAAAACCAAGTTTCTCACTTTGGTTTCTACGTGTGTTTTGCTCCCTACATTGCAATATTCAGCTCTTCACTTGCAGAGAGCTAGGTCGCGTGGTTTCCCTTCCACTGAGTGCCTGACCTTGGCCCATCTTCCCTTGAGGTCACTGGCTTTATCGGTTTATAGTTCTAACTCTTTGGGGGAGAAGGCCTTTGTGACTCAGTAGCAAACATTTCTCCCCTGGCTTGCCCTGTACTCTAGTCTGTTTTGCCAAGACGACACAGCATGTAATTATATAACTGCTTTTCTTAATCTTATCTTTTATGATGTCTGGGGCTGTGAGCTGCTAAACAAGCCTCCTCCACATCAAGATTATAAATAAAATTGCTCGTGTTTTTCTTCCTCTTTGTGGCCTTATTTTTTTACACTTAAATCTTTGAATCATCTGGAATTTGTTGTCACAGAGGAGTGAGATCTAACCATATTTTCTTCCAGCTGGAGACCCAGCTGTCCTGAAACCAGGATCGCCATTCCCCAAACACAGTAAGCCTGCTGATAGTTCAGTGCCTGTTTAAACCCCGGATTCCACCTACAGTGGTCTCTCCTGTGCTGTGGTTTTTCTAACTCTGCCCATCTTCCTTAGCACTCTGCTTTGCCTATAAGAACGTGGTCATTTCAGTCCTCCATCACCATAGGGAACAGCTCTGGGAATCCAGGAGAAAAGCAAGCTCCCAGACACTCAGGTCCCATATATACAATGGTGTTAAATTTGTACAGCACCTACGTATACCCTCCTGTAGGCTTCAGCCATCGCTACACACCTAACACAGCCATGCTCTGTACACTGCCGCACCGTGTTGCTTAGGGAGTAACAATAAGAAAGACTGCGTATTCGGCACAGAGGCTAGTTCTCTGGTATTCTTGATCTGAGACTTGTTGGCTCTGTGAATGCAGAATCTGCAGATCTGAGGAAGGTTGAGTGTGCTACCTCTGTAGCTGGTGCCACTCCGGCAGCTGAGCTGGTGGAAATTGGAGGGAGTGTGTCCATTCAGGACACCAGTGTTCTCAGAAGTCCCTTCCTCGGCCCTCTCACAGATGAGGCTCTGTACTTTCTAGGTTGCACTTTTTCTATCCTCCTCCTCAACTCAGGAGGTGAGGGACAATGTGGGGAGCACACAGAGAGGCAAGGCAACAGGGCCAGCTTCAACTGTCACCACCTGCAGCAAGGGCCCAGCATGGTCCCCTAAAGCCTATCTTCCTTCCAATCAGGGTAAGCGACCTGAAGGATGGGGATGACCACAAGGTCAGCTCACCAATGCTGCTAAATACTGTGGGAGAGGATGAACAAGGGGCCTGAAGCTATCTGTCCTGGCCAGTGGCAGATGGGAGCAGCCCCACCAGATCCAGTTACCCCAGGTACGGGGGCTCACCAACCACTTCCCTCCCTGCTTTCCGATGTGGCCATGGAAGACACAAGGGTGGGCCTACAGCAGGAACAGCTTGCCCTAACTTTCTGTAGGTGCTGGAGTGAAGAACCCCCAACTGGTCCTCTCGAAGGCAGTAAGATTCAATACGCACCAGGCTTAACGCCACACTTCCTCTTCAAACACTTATCACAGGCTATGCTCTACAGCCTTGGCCAGAGCCATAGGAGACATGCCTACAGAGGACTTGAGACTTGCTGGGTGTTTCCTGTGTGTATTTAAGCTCAGAGTGGCCTTTAGGCAAGCCTCAACTCCAGCACTGCTTCCCTGAAGAGCTAGGATGGGTGCCCCCATATGAGCCCACTTCCACGTGGGTGGAACAGTGAGAAGGGATGGACCACAGCTCATCTTAGCCTGAAGAGCAGCCATCCAAGGGAGGATGTAAACTTCAGCTTCCTAGGACAGCCTGAGGGCAATGGGGGTGGGGTGGAGTGTAAGGCAATGGGTGGGGGAGTGTAGTTCAAGGGAACTGACAAAATCAGTCCCAGATGACCCAGGACATAGGTCACACCCTTGTCGCACTGCCTCTACTCTCTCTCTTTGTCACTGTCACTTGTGGAAGCTCTGCAGCAAGCCACACCTCCCACTGGAACCTGCCACAGTTTGTGCCTCAAGGTGGCCAAGGCTTGTTCCTCAGGGGGCTGCAATTGGATGGTTGTGGAGGCTTGGCAGGTGGGGCCCGGGTGGAGGCCCCTTCCCATTGCTCTCTTTTGCTTCCTCGTCGTGAGGTTTTCCTCTGCCATGTGGAAACCCACGGCCATCTGGAACCCCACTAGAGCCTAAAAGCAATAGGCCTGCCTGATCATGGACCAAGAGCTCTAAACCCAAGCCAACCCTTTTTTCTTTTGAGTTCATTACCTCAGGTGTTTGTTTTTATTTACTTATTCTGTGTTTGAGGTGGTAACCTTATTTATGGAGGTCAGAGGACACGTGCTGGAATCTATTCCCTCTTCCTACTGTGTGGGTCCTAGGGATCAAATTCGGGTCCTGAGCCTTGCCAGCAAGTACCTTTATTTGCCGAGCCACTTGTCGGCCCAGGTATATGTTACAGTAACGGCAAACTGACTAATAACATCCTCTCTGGAACACAAGAGTGGTGACCATATGCTCTTGGTAATCAAGAGACATGTAATTCCAGCACTCAGGAGGATCTCCGCGAGTTTGAGACTAGCCTGGTCTACGGAGAGAGTTTCAAGACAGCCAGGGCTACACAGAGAAACCCTGTCCCAAAACAAAGCAAAAACACGCTACTCAGCGGTGGGATAGTTCTCCATCTCCAGTACAACAAGGCAAACAAACAGCAAAGCCTTGCTGGTAGCCTTCTGTAGGCGCCCCATCCTTCCTCTCTCCTGGCCACACTGTCCTCCCCTGGAGCCCACCCCCATTCCCATCTCCACCCCCATTTATCGTGCAGATCTTTCTCATCTTCAGGGCAGTGTGAGGGCTCCCTCCTCTGCCTTCTGACATGAGTTCAAGGAAAAGTTACCATTGTCTGCACAGGCCCTTGTGGCCACACTTACACAGCCCACACTTCCCTTTGGCATGCTCTTCTTTTGACACAACCCCTGGATTAGGCCATCCTCAGAATCTGGCCTATCCTCCACGCATCTTGAATGTCACTTTCATTCCCAAAAAGATGTTCTCTCCCTCCTTCCCTCCCTCAATTTCAAGCTTCTCTTGTCACCCCATGTTCAGTTCCCCAGACACCCTCCTAGGTCTCAGTTCCCAGTCACCTCCAAATCACTCCCACAGGCCTCCTGTGCAAAGCCCCTTACAGAATTAATAAAGGGTCGCTCACGATGTATCAGGTAAAGAATAGGCAGTTGATTAGTATTTATTGCATAACAAATGCAGGAAGAGCTGGCAAGAGGACACATTGTTTCTTTGAAGAACGTGACAGACCTCTGTAGAGACCAATCGCTCCCAATTTAGTTATCCCATCTGCCTCTCCGGGCTCCTCCCGGAGCTCACCGACCAGTGGACACCAGCCACACCCTGAGAGTTCCACCCTGCCCCACCCATCAGCTCCGCCACGCCCACCTGCTCCTCAGACCCCGCCCCTCAGCCTCCAGTTGGCCCTGCTCCATCCCCCACGCCCACCTGCTCCTCAGACCCCGCCCCTCAGCCTCCAGTTGGCCCTGCCCCATCCCGCTAGCTCCACCCGATCCCCATCAGGACCCGGCCCTCGATCCCCGCCCGCCTATCCCTCAGGCTCCACCCGGCCCGCCCGCCCCGCCCTCTAGGCCCAGCCCCAGCGACCCCACCCTGCCCCACCCACCTGTCCTGCAGGCCCCGCCCCGCCCCTCAGGCCCGCTCACCTGTACGCCCAGGGCGAGACGCTGCGCAGGTTGGTGGGCGGCCGGAAGCGGCGGTCGGCGGGCCTGCCCCCGGCGGGGCAGCTGGCGTTGCGCGCTTGCTCGCGCGGCCCGAGCTGCAGCGTGTGGTGGAAGGCGCTGAGCACACCGGCCGCCAGCCGTCCGTACAGCTGCTCCAGGAGCTCCTCCGGCCGGTCCGCGCAGTCCCGCGGCCGCACCGGGCGCCTCCCGGTCCTCAGCGCGCCCGCCGCGCGGCCCGGCGCCAGGGCCAGCAGGAAGCCGACCGCGAGCATCCAGACCTGCGGCGGGACAGGCCGCGCTCAGCGTCGCGGGAGCCGCCCGCCGCTCCGCACACCGTGAGGCCCTACCCGAGCATGGGCGCCGCGCGGGCCGGCCCCCGAGCGCCGTCCCCGCCCGCCCGCCGCCCTCGCGGCCCCCGGGGCCCGGCCCGCCGCCGGCCCGCGCGCCCCCGACCCCCGCCGCCGCCGCCACCCAGAGCCGGAGCCCGCGCGGGGGGCGGCTGGGGGGCGCGCGTGCACGTGTGCGTGTGCCTGCCGGGCTGCTGCGCGGCGGGCTGCGAGTGCCCGTGAGACGCCGCTCCCGGCCGTCGCCCCCCGACCCTCAGCCCCAGCCCGGCCGGCCTCAGCCATGCCGTCGCCGGTCCCCCCGAGGGCGCTCACCAGTGTCCCCAGCATCGCGTCGCCGAAATGCTTTCCAGACTTGTTAGGAGGGGGGCTGATGGCTCTTGAGCGAAGTAAATAAAGGCGCCGCACACGCGGGGCGTGTGGCCTGCGGGTTGGGTGTCGCCCCCACCGAAGTGGACTGGCGCGGTCCGCCTGGCTGGAGGAGGAGGAGGTGGTGACTGGCCTCGACGTCTCGGCACGGACCAGTGGGGCGCGGCGGGGATGCAGTCGGGAGGCCGACTTTGGCTCAGAGGAAACGGATTTCTCTAGGCATTAAAAGCGGTCCAGGAACTGGACAGGTCACTTGGAAATGAATGAACTCAAACCTAGGACTCTCCTCCTTGGGACCTCGACTTCTGCGATTTCATAGTTCGAAGAATTATATTAGAGATTAAAAAATAAAGCTAATGTTCTGTGAGGCGAGAGGAAACTGTTTCCCCCTTAATACTCATAAAATGACTCCGTGCCTCTTATTCAGCTAAAGGCAGAGTAATAAATACCCTCCCCCACCTGACACACGGCTGTAAGTGGGCATCTCATGGTCTAGTTTTACAGTGTTGGAGAACTCAACCATGATATTGTGTGAGCAGACATGTAAAATGAGCCTAAAGTTCTGTGAATTAACTAAGGGAAATCAGCCCAAATGAAGGACCATATTGTATCTCATGATCTCAAGAGAGCTTGCTCACCTCCTTGTCCATTCTACAAAGCTAATGAATACGGTTACTTTTGAGCACTGACGCTTTGAAAATAAAAACAAATGGTTGAATCCAGCCGAAAGCTTTTTGAAAGTTTGCAAAATAATTTTTGATTCCCTAAAATGGCTTGCAGCTTTGGGTTTGAACCAAATTGTAAACCAGTAAACTGCATTTCAGTTATGCTGTGCAATAAAACACTTGCCTTCGATGCTTTAAAACTAAAATGCTTTGTAACTGCTTCGCCACTAACGTCCTTCGAACATGACTGCTTAAACAATTTACAGTTCTTAGGAAACACATCTGGGTTTATGGAACATTTTCCGACTAGCACATAAATTTGTTAGCATTATCTCATTTCTAGGAACATGGGAATAAAGGCGGCGGCACTCATACTGCTTATTTACTGTTTGAAAAACAGTGTAGGAGTATTTCCGGGGTGAGCTTGTCATTACCAGAGTTCCATGCACGACTCACCAGTCCTATTACAGCATCTTTTCATATCCGTAGTGGCACAGGGCCAGCCGTCAAAGGCCCTTCCAGGGTCTGATGGCTGGACAGCTTCTCCCCTCTCCCAGCTTTCCTTTAACGGTTTTCAGTTTGTGGAAGGGCTTCGTTTCCGAAAACACACCGATTAGATAGTGGCACAAAGCTTACGAACAGGCTCAGAGTAACATCATAACGAGTTCTTCCCAGGTCTCCGCGTTCTGTGACAAGACGCAAGTTAATAACTGGTCCAAACTTGGGGCTCGGGAGATGGCTCAGGGCTTACCATGCAACACTGGTGGGCCAGGTTCTCTGCCACTCCACAGAGTTGTCCAGCCACCACATACACGTCATTTCACACGCACAGAAATCTAAACAAATACTCTAAAGATTAATCCAGTTAAGAGCACTGTCTGCTCTTGCAGAGGGTTTGTGTTTGGTTCCTAAGCACCCAATGGTGACGCTCAGCCACCTGCAACTCCAGTTCCGTGGGATCGATACCCTCTTCTGACCTCTGAGGACACCTGGTACACAGACGATAATGCACAGACACATGCAGACAAAACATTCATAAACATGAAAATAAAAATTTAGAAAATGACGTCTATATTAATCTGTGTTGATGGGAAAAGAGGTGCAAAGTACAGTAATTCTCCCCGCGCCCCTCAGGTAATGGTGCGTGTTTGATGTTCTGTATTCCTGTCTCCACTAGCATAGCTGTCTAGAGTTAGCTTGATATTTTCTTTCTCATCCCTTGCTCCACTCAGCTGTCCCAAGTCCAGCAAAGATGCAAGACAGCGTGGACCAACCTTGACGTGCCCACAGAGGCTACAAGAGCGCCATGTCTCCTGGACCTGGTGTCACAGCCATACTGGTGCTGGGAACTGGACCCTGATCCTCAGCAAGAAGGATGGATGCTGGGAACTGGACCCGGATCCTCAGCAAGAAGGATGGATGCTGGGAACTGGACCCGGATCCTCAGCAAGAAGGATGGATGCTGGGAACTGCTGGGAGAGTCTTGAGTCATTATTTGGCACTGTAACTTCCAAAGCCGATGTGTGATTGGTTACTTCCATGCTTTCCTTGGAGTCTGAGTAAGTTGCATATGCAAAAATATTCTTTGACGCTCCCTCATGTAGCTCCTCTTATTCATGGCTGAGTCTAGCACCTGGGTCTTGCGATGTTTTTGCTGCTTAATCCTGCATCATCAGCTTGTACAATACCACCTGGTTCTGAGTGCCCACTTGAATTTTTGTCTTTCCCCACTTTGTCTGATGTCAGCTATCAAATTGTGTGGCTGCATCCAAGGTCTCCTCATCAGGAATCGCTGACCACATCCCCATATCAGATTCCAGCACCCATGTATGTTCTGTTCTGCACTTCTCAGACTTACCTGTCTTCAAACCATGCCATTCCTCATTGACATGTCACCAATTCTCCCTTCTAGCCGTTTCCTGGCTCATCTTTATTATCATTCTTATGATCCCTTGGTGAGCTTTTCTTCTGCAGTACTTGCCAGCACTAATCCAGCTCTTTAAAAAAAATTAACTTGGACTGGGGAGATGATTCAGTCAGTAAAGCGCTTGCTATACTTGGCAGAGGACCTGAGTTCATCAGTCCCTGGAATTCATGTAAAGAAGCTGGGATTAGCATTTGTCTCAGACTAGCATTTTCTTTTCTTTTCTTTCTTTCTTTTTCTTTTTCTTTTTTTTTTTTTTGGTTTTCCGAGACAGGGTTTCTCTGTAGTTTTGGAGCCTGCCCTGGAACTAGCTCTGCCAGGCTGGTCTCAAGCTCACAGAGATCTGCCTGCCTCTGCCTCCCAAGTGCTGGGATTAAAGGTGTGCGCCACCACCGCCTACCAGATTAGCATTTTTTTATGGCTTGGAGAAGTGTCCCCCAAGGTCCATGTATTCAAGGCGGGCCACTGGGGCTGTGTCTTTTCCTGCGGTTCTGGGTTACCCTCAGATGAATGGGCTGTTCTGCCACATGCTTCTGCCATGATGTACTTAGAGTACTGTCTTAGTCACTGTTCTGTTGCTGTGAAGAGACACCATGGCCATGGCAACGGCAACTCTTATAAATGAAAGCATTTAATTGAGGCTGGCTTGCAGTTTCAGGTGGCGTGCAGGCAGACATGGTGCTGGAGAAGCAGAGAAGTAGCTGAGAGATCGACATCCAGATCTAGGCTTGGAACAGGCTTTTTGTTGTTGGGTTGTTTTTTGTTTTTATTATTTTGTTGTTGTTTCTTGTATAGCCCTGGTTGTCCTGGAACTCTCTGTAGACCAAGCTGGCCTCAAACTTACAGAGATCCACCTGCCTCTGCCTCCTGGGTGCTGGGATTAAAGGAGTGCGCCACCAGTCCTAGCTGACAATGTTTTTTTTTTTTAAAAAAAATATATATTGCCGGGCGGTGGTGGCGCACGCCTTTAATCTCAGCACTCGGGAGGCAGAGGCAGGCAGATCTCTGTGAGTTCGAGGCCAGCCTGGTCTACAAGAGCTAGTTCCAGGACGGGAACCAAAAGCTACGGAGAAACCCTGTCTCGAAAAATCAAAAAAAAAAAAATATATATATATATTTATTAAATATACAGTATTCTGTCTGCATATCCCTATAGGCCAGAAGAGGGCATCTTATCTCATTATAGATGGCTGTGAGCCACCATGTGGTTGCTGGGAATTGAACTCAGGACCTCTGAAAGAGAAGCCAGTGCTCTTAACCTCTGAGCCATCTCCCCAGCCCCACAATCGGTTTTTGAAACCTCAAAGCCCACTCCTAGTGACGCACTTCTCTTTCAAATAGTGCCACTCATTGGTGACCAAGTATTTGAATCCAAGAGTTACAGAAACCATTCTCATTCAAACCCCACAGGTGTAAGTACAAGCTCAAAGCAATAGGACCAATTAATCAGAGACCAAAATCAATGTAGCTTCAAGCTATGATAAACCTTTCCCCCACTACAGGTTGGTTATCTCAGGTATTTTGTTATGGTAGTGAAAAGCTGGTTAGTTTTCTCATCACTGATCAAATACTCGACAGAAAGCAACTTTAGGGGAAACATTTCTTTTGGCTCAGTTTGAGAGAACACAATCCATGACAGGAAAGGCATGATGGCAGGCGGTTCTGTGATGGCAGGAGTGTGGCAGGCAGCTGCTTGTCAGAGCTCAGTGGACCAGGAGACAGAAGCAGCCTATGTGTCAGTGACTCACTTCCTCCCACGAGGTGCCACCGCCTAAACATTCCACCTCCCTGAACACCATTGCCAGCTGGGGACTGGATGTTCAAGCACACGATCCACTGGGGAGCATGTCACATTCAGACAATAACACTGACTAACACAGCATTCAATACAAATACCCTATTGAATTTTCTACCTCTTCTACCTCTATTCCCTTTTCCATGGTCACTTTTTGTTTTTTTTCGAGACAGGGTTTCTCTGTAGCTTTGGAACCTGTCCTGGAACTAGCTTTTGTAGACCAGGCTGGCCTCAATCTCACAGAGATCCGCCTGCCTCTGCCTCCCGAGTGCTGGAATTAAAGGTGTGTTCCACCACCGCTCAGCCTAAGGTTACTATTTTCTATCTGTTCTTTTTAGATCTCTCATTTTCTCCCATAGACAGGAGAGCAGTCACCACCACCAGATAAAGACTGACCCGCTGGCCCTCAAACTCATACACTTTGGATTTTCCATGATGCATGCTATGAGCCTTCTTGACCTCAGGCATTAACTAGCTACCATCTCTGCTCTGCTTTGACAGCAGAGTGCTCTGTCTTGTCTTTGTTCTCTGGTTCTAAAAGTCTCACTTCCTGTTTGCTCAGTGTACTCCAGCTGAGGACCTTTCTAGTTCATTGCAATGACTTTGACAAGGTTATAAGATAATATAATAATAACACATAATATATAATCATTGCCCAAATCAAATCTTTATGAGAATATCTGTGTAAAAAGTTGACTGCTCTGTTATTCCTTTGGTTGGATTGAACTTTTCTTGCCCTTTCTATTTCAATGCATCTATACCTCTTCCCCTTCCTCATCCCATGCCCCCCCCCAAATTTATGATATCTTTCTTTTTGCTACATGTATATACTTATATATTATGCATACACACACATGTATATATAACCCTCATATTTTAAAATGTTTCTGGGTGAACTGTCATTTGCTTACAGTCCTAGCTCCTCAGGAGGCTGAGCCAGGAGGATCATTTGAGCCCACAAGTTCAATACTAACCATTCTGAACAAGTGTGATGGAGCAGCTAATTCACTGGACAGTCTAGACCCTCACAGACAGGTCTAAAGGAAAACACAAGCTGTCCTGCCCCAGCCTCATGCTCTAAGCTAGGAGTGGGCCCACCAGTCTTGGGACCCTGCTTCACTGTGCACACACCAGGGGGGACCACTGAAAAGAGCAAGGTTACAGTTTGGTGTCTTCTCTATTTCCGTTTTGTTATGCTGCCTTCAGAAGAGAATGGTCTTAACAGTGAGACAAACTTCCCAAAGACTCCAAGCAATGTAGCTTGAATAAAGAACACATACATGTGTGTGTCTATATATCTATATATCTTCGTAATTCTTAAGCAATTAAATACAGTAAGCTCACTACTGGCACTTTATATATAGTAATAAAGGTAAAGGGTATACACAAGCTGTCTTGTGGCTGGGCAGATACTTGCTGTTCTAAAAAACTGACTTCTCATTGCTGGTCAGTGTTACTAGAAAGGTAAGGAAGTCATTGGCCTAAGGTAGTAGTTTCATGGCTTTTATTCCATTAAAAATGACAGCACAAATCCATCTTCAGAGAACAGAATACATTTAAAGTTTCAACAGTGTACAAAATTAAAGTTCAGACATCTGACCCCAGGTTTAACATGCGCATTACCTTACAAGGTGATTTCTTTCCTTTAGTAAATGGCTTACTGGGCCAGGGAGAGTATAGTTGGGAAAGTGCTTGCCTTGCAAGCCGGAGGACCTGAGTTCAAGCCCCAGAGCCCCTTTAAGGAAAGATGGGTGTGATGGCATGTGCTTACAATCTCAGCACCGGGGAAGAGGAAGTGGAGACAGGCAGATCCCAGGGGTTGATGGCCACCGCCTACATGGTGTGTTCAAGGCCAGAGAAGGACTCTCACAAATAAAATGCCGGATGAGCAGTGCCTGGGGAACAACACCTGAGGCTGTCTTCTGGCTTACACACACACACACACACACACACACACACACACACACACACACACACCTCACTCACATCATATTAGAGTTTGTATTATTCTGGAAGCAAGTCATCTCCTAACTCTTCATCAGCAAAGTCATCCTCGTCGATTCTCTTTTTGGCTGCAGTTTTTGGTCTTTCTATTTGGGGGCCCAGTGGATCCACATAGGAGGCATCTAGGTTTCAAAAGAGATCATGCATTAGAATAGAAGAACAAGGAACTTGAAAGCAATCTAGACTCAGTTCACCCAAACCCGATGACTCCGAGTGAACAGAAACGCTCTTCCAAGTCTGACCAGTCTGCACTTGTCAGTTCTCAGCAGTTCCCCAGGATAGGACACACTTGCCACCTCCAGGTCTTCCTCAGACCAGCTGTGCTGGAGGAGCTGGGCGGGGGGACCAGCACTTGCCTATTTCTTTGTTACTGCTACTTTCATAGGGTTCATCTGTCCCAGGCAAAGCTCTGAGCTTGGCACTCAGTCGTTCACTTTTACTACTGGCACTATTGTTCTGGCCACTATCTGAAAACAAAAATAAAAATACATTTGTTTAATAAGTCAAGGATTCATGACATCACATTGCACATCTTAAATCATATGTGTTTGCCAAGAAATACGTAGTCTGTTTCATCAGAAGCTGACTCTGGGGAATGGAATTCAGGTTTGAAAGAAATCTCTTGTTGGAAATCTGAGCACATATAAAACACAACTTGAGCATCTGCAGCCTGCAAATGTGGGCTTACTCACGGGCTTCAGTTTTATTTTTACATGTATTTACTGTGTTTGTGTCTGTGTGCACTTGCCAGGTATATGTGTGGAGGTCGGAAGACAACCTGTGGGAGTAGTTCTCTCCACTCAGGTCATCAGGCATGGTGACATGTGCCTTTCCCTCCCTGAGCCATCTTGTTGGCCCTAGGTTTCAATTCTAGAGAAGCTGTAAGAAGCTGAGTGGTTGCCCTGAAGATTACAGCTGGGAAGAAAGCATCTGAAGGAAGGACAAACTGGCGGTGCAAAACCAGCGTCATCTCAAGGCTGGCGAGGTGCCCTGAAGACGCCACACCAGGTGTGGTGCTGTTGTACTCTTTGTTTTTGAGACACAGCCTCTTGTGTCCTGGGCTCAGGCTGTCTTTGAGCTCGCTCAGTAGCTGAGAGATTCCCCTTCAATTTCTTATCTCCCTGTCCTCATCTCCTGAGTGCTGGGAGTGTGCCACCACATGGGCTGTTAGCATCTGGAGACTGTACTGCAGGCTAATCATGAACTCAGGTGGGCAAGAAAACCTGTACCACACAAGTACTGTCTTCAGACATTTAAAGATGAGAAAGATTTTAATTATCAGGAAAAGCTTGTAAAGATTATGGCTGCCAAAAGCTAGCACCTATTTGGGGAAAACACAATTTATGTTAGTCAAGATTTTCAGAGACATGGGCAATGGTGGCACACACCTTTAATCTCAGGACTCGGGAGTCAGAGGCAGTGAACGAGGCCAGCCTGGTCTATAGCGCAAGTTTCAGGACAGCCAGGGCTCCACAGAGAAACACTGTCTCGGGGAAAAAAATTCAGAGACTGAACACTAACAATGGTAGGAAATATCTGTATTCTTTTTCTTTTTACTTTTTTTTCTTTTTCTTTTTTTCCTAGACAGGGTTTCTCTGTGTAGCCCTGGCTGCCCTGGAATGCTCTGTAGACCAGGCTGACTTCAAACTCGGATCCTCCTGCCTCTGTTCCTAAGTGCTGGGATTAAAGGCATGCACCATTGTATTTGGCTTGCTCTAGGCAGTTTTATTTTGTTTTCATTTTGAGATAGGGATTCACAGTGTGACCCTGACTGGCTTGAACTCAGTTTTCATCAAGGCTGTCCTTAAACTCACAGAGGTCTTCTTGCCTCCTGGAGAGAGCACTAGGATCAAAGGTGTACAATACCACACCTGGCCCAGTATTTCTTAATTAAAAACTATTGTTTTCATTGTTGTTGATGTGTATGCATGATGTGTTTGTGTGGTATGGGGTCTTGTGTCATGGTTCATATGTGGAGGTCAGAGAACAACTTTCTGGTGTTGGTTCCCTCCTCCTCCTTTATGAGGGTTCCAGGGAGCACACTCAGGTTGCCAGGCCGTATGGCAAACGCCACCACCTGACAAGCTACCACACCGTATGACAAGTGCTACCACCACCAGATGAGCTACCACACTCACTGGGGATATTTATTTCATTTTCCACATACATACAAGTTGGCAACAGAACCCTGAGGTCTCCTTTAGGCCCTTACACTCTCCTAGAATCCTGACATGTAATTCCTAGTCATAGAAGATTCAAATCCTGTGAAAAAAGAAACCTTTAAGGAAATGAAACCTGAGTTGGGTATAGTGGTACAGGCCTGTAGTTCCGGCTAGGAGATGAAGGTTATACTCAGTCACATAATGATTTCAAGGTCAGCTTGGGACATATGAGACCTCGTCTCAAAAACAAAAAATTACTAACCAAGCAACCAAACCCTTGACATCCTTTGATTAGCTTTACTTGTCTATTTGAAAATGTGGCTGGTGTAGTGGTACCCACAGCCAGCACTCCATAGGCAAAGGCAGGTAGATCTGTGTGAGGTACAGGCTAGACAGAGCTGCATAGACTGCCTCAATCAATCAATCAATCAATCAGCAAACAAAAAGGAAAAAATAAAAAGGCTAGACAGAGCTGCATAGACTGCCTCAATCAACCAATCAATTAGCAAACAAAAAGGAAAAAATAAAAAGCAAAATGACACGTCTCACTGTATTGCTTAGAGTGGGTCTCACACTTCTGTGGGGTCAAATGAACCCTCTGCTTCAGCCTCCCAAGTAGCTTGGGCTATGGGCAGCTCCCCATGTTTGGCCCATACTACAGTCTGAGGGGTATGTTATTAATACCATTGGGCACAAATAGGTTAATATTCATGACTGAGTCTGGCTGGAAAGCTGAGGCGAGGGCTCAGTTGGTGAAGGGCTTGCTATGTGGACTGACAATTTCCTAGAATTCACATTAAGTCAGGGCGTGGTCACAGGCCTTTAGTCCCAACACTGGGGAAGCAGAGGCAGACGGGTCTCTGAGTTTGTGGCCAGGCTGGTCTACAGAGCAAGTTCTAGGACAGCCAGGGCTATTCAGAGAAACCCAGTCTAAAATGTAAAAAAAGAAAAAAGCCAGGGTGTTAGGTAAGCCCACGCTTATAATCCCAGCAATGGAGGGTGGGGACAGAAGGATCCTTGGGGCTCACTGGTCAGCTAGCCTACTCTAGTTGGCAGACTCCAGGCCAATGAAAGATCATGTCTCAAAACACAAGATGGATAGCTTCTGAAGACAATGCCTAAATGTGAGCTCTGGTCTCTACATATGTGTAAACACCGAGGTGTACACGCATTCATATACACAACTGAGAAAATTAAATCACTTTTTAAATTATATATTCATTTCACTATATCAAAAATCAGTAACCAGTATTTCTGAGGAGCAGCTCTTCCCTTCCCTGGCATGGCTAGAGAGGCAGAAGTCTGCACTGTGCCTTGTGTTACCTCACAGTTTGTGAAACTGGTTTTCCTGCGGTGCCCCACCCTGGGTGACTCCCTTCTAAGTACAGATGAAGGGGCAGGATGACTGACAAGGCACAGACCGACAACGAAGCAACTTCCTCCTAAAGGTAAAAGGGGCTCTGCTAAGTTATCCGGGTATACTGAGACACGGGCGTAGCAGAACTGTCACACAAACCAAGACCTTCACAGGACCTCCCTCCGGACTGAAGATGGGGACAACACTTCTGCCTCATACCTGACACCAAAGCCTCCACCAACCTGCCATCTGACCACAGGACCAACAAGCAGAGAACCTCTGACATCTGTCCAGTTGTTTACCCGTCAGTCCTGTACCTCATGGTCCTGCATGTCCACTTCTGCAGATGAAGAGTTTCCAGAAGCTTCTCCAACAGGGTTCTTATCTACCCCGCCTCTCCCCACAGCCTCCACATCTCTGTCAGCCCCCTGCCTCAGGAAAGCGTCTCTGAGCTCTGCTGTAGCCTCCTTAGCTCTTCTGTAGTCATCTCGTAACCTACACACACATACGTGTAGACATGACTTCTGTGTCACATGCAACTGTGAGCTCAGAGTCAGTGTTAGCAGGCTAAGACAGGGATGAAAAAAACCAAAACAAAACAAAACTGGTGTTTGCCCCAGCTAGCTATCCAGGGAATTCAGAACTACTTGGCAAACTGCAGCCAGCATAACTTTTGTGAATTTGTCTTCAAGTCTGATACTGCGGAAAGACACAAATGTGTCCATCTATGTTTTTGATATGGTGTGCTCCCAACAGTAACCCTGAAACCCAGGCTTCCTGGATGCCACCCAGATTCACATGTCACATAATAGCTGTCTGGCTGAGACAAGGTATATGAGGTAGAATGTGGACTTTCTTTCTATGCATATCCCCAGCTTCTGCAGCTCCAGCTCAATAATCTGCTGGACTACAAAATGTGGCCGACTTCGGAACAGTAGCTGAACATTTGGACAAACCAAACATACTACAAAACATGACTGGCTTAGAAACAGTAGCTGAACATTTGGCAAACCAAACACCATGCTCTTTCTCTGCCTTATCCTCAACCCAGCTCCAACTCTGGAACAGCGCCAGCTTCCTGGCCTTACAGGCAAGGTTACTGTCCCAGACTGTTCACAGAAGCTCCCAGCAGGTCTTGGTACTGACTCCATCCTGACTTGGTGACCAATTGTAACATTTTAGTGTTGTTGTTTTACATATGCACTCTTTTTCCCCCTTGTGACAGTGATCCTTGAAAACATTTTTTTAGATTTAGTTATTTTATGCATATGAGTGTTTTGCCTGTGTGTATGTATGTGAACTTTGAAATGCCCGGTGCCTGTGAAGGTCAAAAGAAGGCACCCTGTCTCCTGAAACTGGAGTTACAGGTGGTTGTGAGCTACCATGGGTTCTCTACAAGAACAAGTGCTCTCAACCCCTGAACCACCTCTCATGACATAGTGATCTTTTCAATATAAGGTCTCTCGCCAAACTAAGAAAGGCTAAGGGGCCTGTCTATATACACTCCCATAACGTTTTCTTCAAATAAAAATGAATTTAATTCCCGAGAAAGGCGTCTTTGCTTGTTGAGAAAGAATATGCTTCCTAATGAGGCAATTAATCATAGAGAATAACTTGGGCTATGCACACACCCATCTCTGAACAATGTACCTAGCAACCTGTTAGCAACCTAGGACGCCGGCTTGCATAGAGCTTGCTTTAAACAAGAAGAATAAACTACTCTCCTGAGCAACCTTTTGATACTCCTTGGTTTCAGTTGTACCATCTGGGAACTACAGGCAATGGGCCAATCCGCCCTAGACTGGTTTTGGGTACGTGTGTGCAAGCAGGCAAACTGTGTCCTTAAAGTGAACTTTTAAAGAGAATTCTCTACTTACCATCTTATGCCTGTGCATAATTTGGGCATCCATATGATTAAAATCAGATGCATTATGGGAAGGGACATGCA